CGTAATTTTTGTTGTCAATTTCTTTTCAAATTCAATGCAACGACACTCTTCCGTTGCCACCAACTCTGGTGTAAATCTGGACAAACTACAGAAAACCGCCTCAAACTTGGCCACGGGCATGTCGAGTTGTTTATGATCTTTAAACTCTGGCCTCAATCTCTCCCTAGCAGTGGGAGGTATGTACTTAACTTGGAAAGCAACCGCAAAGGCTTCCCATGTCGACTCCACTCTACCCTTGGCATATTTCCACCATTGACCCGCATTTCCCTTAAGGTAGTAACTCGCTAGAGTCACTCTTAGTTCACTATCTTCGATGTGAAGCATCTCAAATGTCTTCACAGTTTGTTCGAGCCACTCATCCGCTTTCTTGGGCTCGGGGTCACCATGGAACTCATCCGGTTTGGCCCGCAAGAACTCTCTAGTAAGGAAACTTGCCCTTGACTCCACGGTGTTCACTCGAGCTTGATTCTCCAACCTCAACAAGTTCATAGACTCTCTTAAAGCCCCTGCCATTTCTCAAGCTAGGGCCCCCATTGCGGTTTTACCCGCTTGTTCCACCTGCTGGGCCACATTAGCTTGGCCTGCTTGCTCGGCCATATTAGCTTGGCGGAACCCTTCTTCTTGCATCAGAACCCTATGGACCGGTACCTCATGCACACCTCGGCGAGCCCTACCACGCCTCTTGCCTCTACCACCACGGACTTGACCCCTTCCTGACATCCTAATAAAGGACACAAGAGAAATAATTTAGCACATTAACTCATATGTGCTCGTAACTTGACTCACGCGTTCGACTATAACAATTCCATATATTTCTCTACTATATACACAACTCAATTTCACTCCATATAAGCACTTAGTCATGTAAACACGTACGAACTATTCTTTTACAATGAAATCCGTCCCACAAAAAACCAAAAATTCTTAGTAGAACGAGTATTGATCAAGTACCCTTCTAATGAGACCTCAAGGAATTTAACAGGCACAAACAACATCCCAAAAGTCTAGTCTCATACCCATTTAGTTACATAAGCATGTTATCACATAGTCACAAAATGCATAACACTTCCTAAGAATGCTAAATGAACCCATTGTAGTTAAACAACCACTTCCCACAAGCTCCAAGTATTCAAACCCGGTAGCTCTAATACCAAGTTGTAGCGCCGCAAATTTCTAGCCCAAATGATAATACAACAATCATGGCTCTTTCAAGGAAAATCGAATATAAATCTCCAAACTTACATTACATGATACAATAGTTGTTCATGCAACAATACATTAATCCAACAACAAGTAAATAAATAAATAAATACCCCCAAGGGTTTACAAGTTTCCAAGGCTTGAGCCTGGTTACACAAAACGGTTATTCAAACCCACACACATACAACCCTTGTCTTACACATAGAGTCACTGCAAAATGAGAGTCTCGTACCCTCAACACACATTTCCTCGCCTTTAGTTAGGCGGCATCACCACATCTTTTCCTACACAAAAATCCCGTAGGGTGTGCAAAAAGCCCAGTAGGAAATCCTTAACAAAGTATATATATTTTATAGAAGTCTCAAGAGATGAAATGCACATACCATGGTATGCCCTTTTGAAAGAAAATCACATCTTCATCTTTGAAAACCATCATGCTCAATGATGTCATGCAATTTCAATTCTTCAAAATTTAACAATTCATTTCAAGAGCGGTAAATACGACTCTGGTAATCCTTAGGTCGGTGTCTGCAAGTAGACTATACAAGTACTACTAATTTGTCATTTTTACCAGTATTAACTGGAAGGCGCGACACCTGTAATCTGTCATTTTTACCAGTATTAACTGGAAAGCTCGACACCTATAATCTACACCACCTTTCAAGACTTACCACTGTATTTACCCCAAAATCATTCCATGAAAACTTGTTTCTCAACATTCTTTTCTCAATGCAAGTTTTCAAATCAACTTTCAAAATTTAATGTAACCAAACGAATTGATATGCCAATAATACAAGATGAATAAAAATACTTTTATTCCAATTTATCATCCAAGAAGTAACACAATTCCCTCTTCTCAAGTATCCTCAACAATTAGTCATTTCAAGACTATTTCAACGTTTTGAACAATAATTTCTAAAATGAACAACAATTCTCATATTCCCTGAAATTCATCATTTATATAAATATAAATAAGAAATTTTCCAAACATCCATTTATTTTGACACACAAAATAAATACAACAATATCATTCATAGATTTTCAGTCTCATTTAAAAAAATCCCCAAATTCTAGGTTTTCTCACCAAAACTGTGCAACTCAAATCTTTTGAAAGAAAACTTTCCAAAATCATCTTTTCTTTAATCAACAAAGATCAAAACCCATAAGATCATTTTAAAAGAACAAGAGACAAACCCACTTTCAAAATTGCTCAACTTCTTGAATCAACAATCAATTTTCAAAGCTATCGAAAGATGATTTCAAAAATCATCTAGATCTTGCAAAAATATATATATAACTCTAAGAAAATCCCTACCTCAAGTTTTGGAGAAGAAATAAGATGAAACCCCCAAAATCAACAGCATCGAAACTCGATCTTCACCGGACACAACGAAGCCCTCGAGAAGTTAACCAACTTTGATGAAGAACCTATGGCAGAACTCTAATGGATCTTGAGAAATCAAGGTTTTGATCCAGTTTGGCGTAGGAAAATGTAGAGAGAAGGGAGAGGAAAGGGTTTTTAGAGAGAGAGAGACCTAACAAGAGTGAGATACACTCAGCCTAAAGAGAAGAAAAGACCAAAATTTTGGACTCACCTACTACCGCACATGCGGCGCTTCTCCCGCACTTGTACTCCCACACCTGTATTTATTATAGTAGCCAAACAAGTCCTCCCATGTTTTCCGCACGTGTGGCTCAAGTAACTTTGAATGCATTTTGCATTTTTGTTTCGGGGGCGCTGCCCCTCGACCTCGCCAGGGCCCTGCCTTGGGATCGCTACACATCGTTACCTAAAAATGTTATTCCCAAGTAGGGTGAACCACAGCCCAATAGAAACCATTTAACACAGTATATGAAATTTAGCAAAGGTATAAGTACACTATGCATGTACAACGTCAAAGATAAAGGCATCCACATTATGTGTAGTATTAAAGTACCAAGCTCAATCATTAAGCCATTTCCCTTCATTTCATTTAACTACATAAGCCAATTTCATCATTTCTCAATAGCTCAAATGAGATTACAACTCATTAGTTCTAGAACCACATTATCAACACATAAACACTTCAAACTTTTCTTTCACGGATATTTCGTCCACGGGCAACCGTCAAACAGGACCCATGTATTCTTTCACGGATATTTCATCCACGAGCAGCCGTCAAACAGGACCGATGTAAACGTAGGCTATACAAGCACTACAATTGCCATTTTATGAATATTTCGTCCGCGGGCTAGGCACCCATGTATAATTTCGGGACTTTCACCCAAGACACTCCGGCCAACTTAATTATAATGGAGTCCATCTCCTTTCTCCTCCCAAACAATCACACATACATATGCAATGTATTTAATCACAAACTCAAACAATGGAGTACATCCTCTTTCCACTTCCAAATAACCATACATATACAATGTACATAAATATAGTCATATTCAATGACAAGCACAAGTGATTAGTTTCAATTTACCTAATTTGCATGCAATTTCTACAACAATCATAGCTATCCTCCACCGATAGCCCAATACAGTTATTTCTAAACAAAAATCAAATCTCATAACAGATAGTTTATTCGAAACTATCAAAGAATGGAATAACACATAACCAATCCCACCATTCGTATCAATAGCTTTTCAATTTCACATTTTTAATGTGAATTTCCATTATTTATACAAAATAATAATTTGATTCAATTAGGGAAAATTCTCCCTTTTTTCCAAATATTAGCCAAGTGCCAAAATCATCAAATCATACACAATACAACATCATTTTCAAACCCCTCAAGCATTTATTTTGTCTTCACCCGAAAATTCCTCTTTCCATTTTATGCCCAAATCCTAGGCTTGCCTTAAACACCCCCAAATCACATCATTGTTACACAAGATACAAATAACTAAGCTAAATATCATATGGAAGTGTAGAAAAGATCTCTACCTCAAGCTTAGATGAGAGAGAAGAGAGAAAAGCTCAAAAGTCGACAATGACGAAACAACGATTTGCCCTAATCAAAATGTAGCCCTTGACAAGCTCTACACTTAATCTCAAAGAAGCAAGGTGAAAAGATCACTCTAGGTGAGTAGATCTAGAGATTTAAGTGAAAAAGTTTGAGTTTGAGAGAAAGAGAAGAGAGAAGAGAACTCACGGTTTGAAAGGAAAAGGGGAGGAAAAATAATGAGAAAAAGTGGGTTGGGCCTATTTATAGTGGTAGCAAATAGCCCTAAGGTCAAATAAAATAATAGGCCCAAAAAAACCCCAAAGGTAAGGCCCATACGAACCCCAAAAATCTGGAAAAAAAAAAAACATGCAAGGGTTGACCCTTCGGGCAGGGGGGTTGACCCTTCGGGCAGGGGGGTTGACCTTTAGGTGGAAAAGACAATCTGGCAACAAGCAAGAGGGTCGACCCTTAGACAGGAGGGGGTCGACCCTAATTTCCAGCAACTAACACACAGATTCTGCAATATAAGAGGGTCGACCCTTCCCAGACTGGTGTCGACCCTTCCCAGACTGGTGTCGACCATATATTCTAGCAACACTTCCAAAAACTTCACCAACAGGTAAGGGTCGACCCTTAGGAAGGCTGGTGTCGACCCTAGAATAGAATTTCTAAGTCTCCAAGGAACTTTTGACAAGAATAAGTGCGCACAACCAAACCCAACAAGTTTAAATCTTATTATACTCCTCCAAAACCAACATACAACAACACCAAAGATTTCCAAAATAAAAATAAAGGATTCGAATACACTTCCCCAAAAGCTTCGAAGGATAAAGGTGTTACAACGTGCTTCCACAAATTGCTACGTCACAGGGTCTCTTCTACAATGAGGAGTTCCAGTTTTTCTTTAAGTGTAAATGTTGGATTTATTGCCTGTCAGCAGTACAATCAATAAGTGCAGTCCATTAATAATCAATGTAGGGAGAAGAGGTAATCGTTGATGCACATGATTTTGAAGAATTAGAGCAATCTTATGCAAACTTTGTAGGTTGTTCCTTGAATGTAATTTTCAAGCTTAATAGTTCCACTTGTCAGTTGCAGATTCTGGTCTTCAAGTCAAACTTTGATTTTCTATAGCTAACAAAAAAAAAAAAAACTAGGAAGCCATGCGATGCATTGCCTACGTCTTCATGACGCAAATGTTGGTTTTATGTTGTTATTAACAAGGACATATGAATTAAATGAGCTAATTTTCAGAAAATGGGATGTGAAAAGTGACTTCTTATTTATATTTTAATCAACTTTGATATCAGAACATGGGAATTATGATGTTATCTGCAACCAATTCAAAAGGCCAATTTTTAGTGTTAATCAAAATTTAATTTTATGCATTTTGTATCCATCCTAAAAAATCATATGCGGGTTTGATAATAATATTCTTAAAATTTGAGAATTTTGTATCCATCCTAAAAATTCATCCATGGGATTTGATGAAATGACATGTTTCCATTTTGAACCAATGCTTTTGTGATGTTCCAATTTCAAATAATCTCATTTTAGCTTATGAAGCTACATGATCTAAAATTCACAATGAGATGGTGCCCCAATTGTGGGTTCCTGGGAGCTTTGCTTTTAACCGAGCTATGTCCAATTGAACCACTAAAAGTTGCATATAGCTTCAAATAACATGTCCTTAAACATGGGTTTTCCATGTTATTGTGTATATCACTAATTCTAAAAGCCAGAGTGCTTGATGTAACCTAGAGTATGCAAAAGTCACCTAAGTTGAGTTGACATTTCCAATTGTAACACTTTGGTCAATCATATTGATTTGTTGCATGTGCAGCAGAGGTAGTTTGAGCAGGAGCCAATTAATCTAAGATGAAATTGCAACAACAGTCCACTTGGATGATTGAATCATGTATGTAGTTCTTGTTTGGAGTTCAGATCATATGATTCAATTTTAATTTATCTGTTAATGCCTGCCTTTTTCTGCAAATTGGCCATATATGTTAGTTTCTTCAATATGTGATCTATTACGTAGAGCATCTAACAAATTAAATATAGCATTTTGTTGCCTTTTCTTCTTTTTTTTCTCTTCTCCAAATCAAGTTCGGTTCATGTATGAGTTAAATAACCCCATCAAGTCATCTCCAAATCATCTCGAAACGTATATTCATGTACAGATTATTTTGCATGTGAAGTCAATTCTGTCTAGTTTAGGGTCACAAAGATCAAGTGCAGCCAAAAATTTGCAGGTGGTATTCTCCCAGGCGAAGTGAAATATTAAAAGCTGAAAATTCTATTACAATATAGACAAGATGTTTAATGTTTGTTTCTAAGGTATTAAGTTTCCTCACCCCCCCCCCTCCTCCCAATTCAGTCTGTTTTGGAATCTAATATTTGTGTGACCAAAATATTCTTATCTTCATTTCAATTGCGAGCCAACAAAACATATGAAAATTGCATAATTGATGCCTTCAATTTTGAAATTTGTGGAGCTTAGTCTTGGGTTTTTAGTTTGAAGTGCTTGGTCTAGCCTACTTCACACAAGAAGCATCAAAGTTTGTACACATTTGAGAAATCAGTTTGGCTCTTTAGGAAGTGTCTCAGAGTTTGCCTTACACTTAAGCAACCATAGCCATAGCCCTTTTAACATCTGATATCTTATATTAAAATCAGAGATTATTGAATATTTTGTCATATTGCTTTTGTTGTGATTTTTTTTCCTCCAATTTTTTTAGTGCAAGAAAACTAAATTAGGCCAAATTATGTTTCTTTTGTAGGTCCAGCAATAAGTTGATTATTAATTTCCATTCTAGAAAGCATTTCTAATCGGTTTCACTAACCATCTAGGAGGACAAAACAGGCAAGACAAACTCGGAAAGCCAGATACGGCATTGCAGATTGCATTTTTTTTTTCATTTGGCCTGGTAGAGGAGCTTGCTAGAAACCCGTCCTAGATGGGGAATCCTTGCACAACCTTTCTTGCTGGCTGTACATAATCTTTTTCATTTGGACAATGACGGTAAGTATATATCGTAGTGAATATGCTCTGACAATTTTTCTTTTTCAATATATCAGAGCTAAATGCATATTTTTCTAATCAAAATAATGTTCCAGGCTCTAGCTATATCAGCAGAAGCAAACTCATCACTCAAAGACTCTGGTTTCTCTTTAATGTATTGTTCGACTTTACTTGTTCTGCATTTCTAAATATTTTATATTAAGAGTGCAAGTCATCCTCAGGTTTAGGGCTCTTGATTGTATCGTGAATTCCATTTTGGGTTCTTTGGCAACTTGTAGTTTATTAAACAGAAGTCGATACAAAAGGACTAGTGCATTTGCTTTGTATTATCAAATTTAGGTTAATTTGATCTTTTGGTTCTGTATCGCAACGTCCATTTTGCATATTTACTGTAACATACAATGATGTTATTTCACCTTCTTATGCTTCGTTGGTTGCTAAATCACAGCACAACCTGAGATAGATTAATATAAATATTCATTTGATCATGTGTGTTTCCAGTCTTATACCTTGTTGCGTGGTTAATGAAAAACAGACACACTACACTTCTGTCATATAATGGTTGTTAAAACCAACAGGCTTTGTTTGGAGGATTACTGGGAAATGTAAATGTATGAGCTTTGTTGGTAACTAACAAATGTAATTATCTCCCCAGAACTGATCAAGAAGAACCCCATTCAAATCACCTAAATAAAGGCTAATGAGACTTGCATGCTGGTAATGGTTTGATATGCTGATCTTCGACAAAGTTTTCAATCCTTTGAATAAATAGTACTGCAAGCTCTTTCCTTTAAGCCTATAGTCCATGTTCCGCGCACAGAGATTTGAATCAAGTGTTGTGTTATTCAATCTGGATTTGATGGATTCTTCTCATATTCTTTATTTTTCCTCTATTTTTGTGTAAGATTTCATATGTTAGAGGTCCTGTTTGTTTTATCAGAAAATCTTACCACTCGTATGAAGTAGCCCTCACCTCAGGATTGTAAAATTTTTAGTAATATGGGTAGGACCTCCTGATTGTAGCATTGTTAGGGAACCTTTTTAAAAAAAATTTAAAATAAATAAAAATTGATTTTGACATCCATATTATGAAATTACATAACCAACTTGAAATCATTGTGGTTAAATGCTAATCCATCATCTGAAGAGAGGAGTGGTCTTTCACTAGTTGCTACATAATTACAAATGTCTATGCATAAATCTTTTAATAGATTGTATTTAGAATAGTGCAAACGGCAGCCTCTCCTACATTATAATCGATAAGATTTTCCTCGGCCATTTTGATGTTGAATGTGAAAAAAATAATAACAAATGTATTAATGTAACAAACATTATCATATCGAAAGGAAAATCTTATGATGTTCGATTCAATTTTACAATCCAATCTATGAGTCCTCCCAACAATATCTCACATAATATTTCAATTTTAACAACCTTACTAGCGTGTCCATGAAAAAATTATGTGGTGGTCTTGGATTAAGTTCATATCTTGATGTTTATTGGTTGAAGTTATGAAATCCAATATACTTCTCGTTAAGATTTTGGGAGATAAGTTGATAAATGTCAAATGATAAATAGTGTAGAGCAATATTCCTAAACCGTCAAGTAATTTCTCAAGTTAATTATACAAAGACTTCCTCAACTATTAACAAATATCACTCTGATCCCCTCATCGATAAATCTGTATATATTGACCCTTTTAATTATAGAAATCATACAAATAGACGCATTTTGAAGATGGTTTGAGAGGATGAAAATAATATATTTTTATAGTTGAAGGAATTAAAATGCATAAATTTATAAATGAAGGATCAAAATGATAGTTACTTAGAGAGCTTGGTGTAATCAAGTATTAACATCTGTCCATGTCTGTGTGGTATGAGAAAAATATTTGAGACACCTAATTTATCATTCCTAAAACCACTCTAATGAAATATTTGATAAGTATCAAATTTTAATTTCATTCCATTATCACAGCACAGTACATTTGTCACCCAAAGCTCAGATCATGCCAAGCTTGAAGCTTTTTCCAATACCTTCACGTTGTCCCTCTCGGTGATCAAAGCTCAGATAATCCGAACAAATTAAGGTGGTGTGAGGTTTCAAGGAAGATCTCAGAACCCTCAGCAGAAGGTTAACACTCATTCAAGCTTTGTTATGTGATGCTGAGAACCGGAGACTAACATCAAAAAATATATGCGAGTGGCTGAAGAATCTCCAGATTGTAACCAAATCCATTGGCATTTCGTCTCAAGATGGCTACAGAGGTCAAGGATATCAATTCAATGTTAGATTTGATTTGCAAAGAAGCAGATGGCATCGTTCCTTAACCAGCTGATCAGATCTTGAATGCTGCTAGTACTACTAGTGTTGAACCTAGAGAATTGAATGAGATGGTCTAGTCGAGAACAAAATGTTCAAGGAATAGTGAGGAAACTTCAAGAAAAGCTAAATGGAAAAAAAGTATTTGCTTGTACTAGAGGATGTTTGGAATGAAAATCCACACACATGGGAGAGCATGAGAGATTCTTTGCTAGGGATAGGTGGCTCCAAGGGAACTAAAATTATAGCTACAACTCGTAGTATGGATGTGGTATCAACCATGAGGACGTCTCCCTCTCTCACTCATCATTTGAACCGACTATCAAAAGATGATAGTTGGATCATGTTCAAGAAAAGAGCATTTGCAACTGGAGGGCCAAGAGAGACCCCATATTTGGTAGCTATTGGGAGAAAAATGCTGGAAAAGTGTAAGGGTTCCATTAGCGATAAAGTCACTAGGAGGTATAATGTACTCTAAACCCTAAACCCTAGTATGACAGGGAAATATGGAGCTCATCTAACATCAAAAATTGAATTCAACTATTATTAAGGTTAAGTTTTGATCACTTACCATCATCATCTTTAAAATACTGTTTTGTGTATTGTTATATTTTTCCAAAAGATTTTAACATTCGCAAGGATGAGTTGATTCAGCTCAGAATGGCTCAAGGTTATCTTCAGCCTTCTTCTAGAAGCAATTTGGAAGTGGAAGATGTTGGTAATAATTATTTTAATATTAATTTGTTGCACAATTCTGTATTGCAAGATGTTAAATTGGATGAGTGCAATAATATTACTAGTTGCAAAATGCACAATCTTGTGCATGATCTGGCACTGGATGTCTCACAGGGTAACTGTTTGTATTTGACTTCCATTTCGGTTGCTGGTGAGCAAAAGTATCATCCTGAGGTTCAACATCCAGCATTGGATTTTAGAAGACAAATAAGTTTTGAAATTCCAAAAGAAATTGTTGGAAAACTAAGGACAATATTTTCAAACGTAAATCTCCCAAAAACATTGCAAAAGTGAAGTGTATACGCTCCCTAAGTTTGGAAAATGTTGGTGTGGATGAGTTGCCAAGTTTTGTATGCAAGTTCATACATTTGAGATATCTTGATCTCTCAAGGACATATATTGAAAAATTGCCAAATGTTGTCACCAAGTTCTACAATTTGCAAACATAGACTTCTATCTTCTAACCATTAGAAAATGCTTCCAAAAGATTTCTGTAACTTAGTTAGGTTGAGACATTTTTATATTGATGATAACCAAGGTAACAGGAAATTGATGCCAATGATGATAGGGCATGTAATGACCCAATTTTATTTTTTTTTAAAATAGCCAGTGCATAATTTAATTGAGCAAATTTTTGAATTTGATTGCAGTGTAAATTCTGTTGCGAAAACAGTTCGATTTTTTATTTTTTAAAAATAGTTTCCGATCTCAGAAAATTATGAAATTTTTATATGTTGTTCCCATATGAGTCTATCACGTTGGAAAAAATTTTCAGAATTGAATGATAAGCATTTATGTTATGAAAATTCACAGACTGATTGGTGTTCATTTTAATTTATAGCAGAATTTTGTTATTTAATTTTGAATGTTTAGATCATGATTTGGATAAATTTGTTGGGTCTATCTTGATATATAATTGGACCATGTTTGACTTATGGGTGAGACCCATGATTTAGATTCAATTTAATTTGAATTTGTTTGTGACTCATGTTTAACTATTTGGTCCTTTTTAATTATATGATTGGTAGTAATCACCTTGGGAGTTGTTATTATTTATTATATAGGGTTATAATAAATATTTAAAAGTTAAATTTATGGTGTGTACCATACGGTGAAAAATTAT